TGCGCACTGGCCTTACCGGATGTACGCAGGAGAGTGGGTGGGACTCTGTAACCTAGGCAACATCCCGGAAGCCACGGGTTGCGTTTACCTGTGGCGGGCTGGGCTGTTCTGGTGCCTGAATTGTTTGGTGGCGGAAAGCAGCAGTCGGGAAACAAGGAAGCAGGTTGTGATGAAAAGGCGGAGTCCCGTAGCCTTCACGGATCATTACTACAGAAAGCGCACCCACGAGTCTGCTTTGAGGGTGTCTGTGCGTTTCAGGAGGCGTGCCTGGGTGCGGTTGTGTCTAGCACGCGCCGCTTTCGGGCACTTGTGCACAGAGCTGGAAATTAGAGGGACCTATTATGGCGTCCAAGCAGTTTACAGTCTAGCGGGAGAAACACTGGCCAGTGTACCGCGGACAGGGAGGGTAATTTAATGCTATTGGATGGTCAGAGTTTGTCCGGAGGAGGCGCCGCTTGAACGAGTTTTGAGGAGTGACTGGGAGTTCAGCCGGTGAAGGAAGTGAAAGGCTGAAGGGTGTTCCAAACAGAGCGTGAAGAATGGTTAAACCTTATGTGAAAGCGAGATCTTTGTTTTAGGGTGTGTGGGAGATTTGAGAGGAAAAAGACTGGAAAGAAAGGGCAACCAGGCCAGGCCTCACGGGGTGGAAGGGACGGGGGCGGGGGAGAGAGGCTCTGAGTGCCAAGCCGAGCTGGATTCTTCGAAGGGCGAGGACTGTGAAACTCTTTGGAGCTGTACTCTAGTCGTTTATCAGGTTAATAGCTATTGAAGGGACGGTGTTTGGAAAGAGGACTTATTTTTCTTTGATCAGTTTTTTACCAGCCAGAGTGGATTTGCTAAATCCCATCATAACTCTTGCTTAAAATCCTTAAGTGACTTTCTTGCAAGTTCGTGATTTGGACCCTGCCTTTCTTTCATTCTCTTTCTAGCCTCTCATCATCGGAAATCTTTGTTAGTCAAACTGAACTTCTCACAACTTTTTAAGCCCCCTCCCCTGCCCAGCATTCTTTCACCCTCTTCTAACTTTTATTAATACTTCAGCTCTCAGCTTAGACATTTTGGGGGTAATTTGAGAGAAGAGGCAGGCTTTTCTTACTGTGTATAGTGAGGTATTTCCATGACACTGAGTTTACTTCACACATTTCCCTTTTATTACAATTATTCATTTAATTGTGGTCTTACAAAGTGTAAGCTCTGTGAGTGTGCAGACTACTTTCTGCTGTATCTGGTGGCTGGCTCTTGGCATGTGGTTTCAAAATATTTGTTGATTCTTGTATGTGCCCTGACCTGGAGTCTAACCTGCAACTTTGGTGTGTGGGGACAATACTAACCAAAATTATATGTGAATGATGAAGTGAGTGAGTGAATGAGAGAAAGGAAGATCAATTAGGAGAAATAATGAGGGCCTGGACAAAATCATTTGCGGCAGAGATGAAGAGGAAGGGACAGATAAGGGAGGTGTTTCAGGGAAAGAATAGATTCTGGTATCTGATTGGTTGTGAGACAAGAAGAAAGAGAAGGTGATACTAAGGGAAGAGGAGCATCAAGAGGAATGGTAATTTTGCAGATTGAGCTGAATTCAGCATTTATTAAGCAAGCCAATCAAATATCCAGATCTAGAGGTTGGCAGTAAGGACGGAATGAGAAATAAGCTGTATTTGGACTCTGAGTTGGGAGATGTGCACAGAAGGAAGTTGGAAATGAACATTTGATGTTTTGAGGAAAGATATGAATTCTTGATTTGTGACTCATTTCATTTGTGTGCCTAATGCATTCATAACTTTGTTGCAAGGGAGTGGGTGAGATCAGTGAGGGAAGATGTGATCTAAAACAGCTCCGTGAGAGCTGGCACCGTATGAGACTTCTTTACTATTGTATCTCAGTGTGCAGCCAGGGCCTGGTGTGCACAATTACAGGGTGAAGAGAGATGGTCTCCAGCGGGAAGACAAGAGCACTGGTATAGAATTGGGTGAAGGTCTTGATTCTCTGAGGAGAGGCCAATAGAGCCTGCAGAGAATGGAGAAAAGAAAAGGAGAGAAACCAGGAGAAAGAGTGTTGTGGAAGCCAAGGGAGGGGAGACTTCCAGGAGTGGTGGTCTGTAGAGCTGGAAAGGCCTGAGAAATAAGAAGGGAGCAATATTTTTAGTAATTAGGAACCTGTTAATATTTTAGATTTTCTAGGCTGTGCTAATTATTTGACTCCTTAGCACTTGTAAAACATCAGAATATCTCCAGTCTCACATGTCAGCATGTAAACTATAGCTCTTTTATGATACCTGGTTTCTGTAAGTGACACAAAATCTGTTAGGAGACCACAAAGTCTGATCCTGGGTTAAGAAAAATGAGGTCACCATTATTGGTGATGTTCAAGACGGTACTTTTCAGTCCAGAGGTGTTCCCCATGTTGCAAAAGTTTGAAGTGTAATTGGGGCTTAGTAACCAGAATTGGTGAAATATGCCTCTTCTTTATGAAGGCTGGTGAAAGGAAGTCCAGAAGAGGGACAGCAGCTTGGCTACACCTTTGTGATTTTACCATACACAGGCTGGAATTTAGAGTTGGCCAGTATGTTAGTTTTCTATGCTGTGTAACAAATGACCACAAACTTAGTGACTTAAAACAGTATTCACTTTTCATCTTAACAGCATATGTGGGTCGGGAGTTCGGACATGGTTTAACTGGAGACTGTGTGTAGGGTCTCACAAAGTTGTGGTTAAGGTGTTGGTGGTCCGCAGTTTCCTCTGGAGACTCAACTTGGGAAAAGTCTGCTGCCAGGTTTGCCTCACTCAGGTTGTTGGCAGCATTTGTTTCCCCCACGTCCGCTTGACCAAGGGGGTCTTGGCTTCTGACTTTCTGCTGGAGGCTGCGCAGACGTTTGAGTTCCCTGCCACATGGCCCTTTGCAGAGGCAGTCGTGACATGGCAGTTTGCTTTTTCAAGGCCAGCGGGAGAGAATCTGTCGCTTTTTTGCCTAAGACGGAGTATAATACATATATTAACATCACTGAGAATATACTATATGATGCAGTTTTACATTCAACTTTTATACTCTTAATGTGTTTTCTTGTACCATTAATATTCTTTTAATATAATTTTAATGGATGCATAGTTCATTAGATAGACTGACATTTCACGATACTCTTTTTTGTTTCCGTAGAATAAATGAAGATCTAAGTGGTTACAGAGTAAAATACACTTGAAACCCTTTTTTGAACAACTGTTATATTTTCCCCACATCTACTTTTATAACAGCTTTATTGGGATATAACTCACATACCAACAAGTGTACAAATCAGAGGCTTTTAGTGTACAGCAGTCCGTTTTATTCATGGTTTCACTTTCTGTGTTTCAGTTACCTGTGGTCAACCACCATCTGAAAATATTAAATGAAACTTCTAGATATTTTGAGAGACAGAATATTTACATTCCTTTTGTTACAGTATATTGGTATAATTATTTTATTATTAGTTATTGTTAATCTCTTACTGTGCCTACTTTATAAATTAAACTTTATCATAGGTATGTATGTGTAGGAGAAAACATAGTATGCACGGGGTTTGGGACTCTGGTTTCATTCCGATAAGGCAGGATGACTGTAGTCATAGAGCAGTGACGCGCCACCACCACTACTATCTAATTCCAGAACATTTTTATCACCCCACAAAGAAACCCCGTGTCCATTATCAGTCACTCTCCATTCCCTTCTCCCTTCAGATACCACCAACCTCTAATCTACTGTATGTTTCTGTGGATTTGTAAATCCTGAATATTTCTTGTAAATGGAATCATACAGTATGTGACCCTTGGTTTCTGGCTTCTTTCTCTTAGCGTAATACCCTCAAGGTTCATCCATGTCACGCGATATATCATTGCTTCTTTCCTTCTGTTGTCAAATAATATTCCATTGTAGGAATGTACCATAGTTTACTTATTCAAATTTATCCATTCATCAAAGGTTTTGAATATTTCCATTTTTTGTCTGCTATGAATATTCATGTACAGATTTTTGTGTGGACATATGTTTTCAATTCTAGGATTAGGATTGCTGCATCATGTGGTGACTCTGTGTTTAATTTTTTCAGGAACTGCCAAACTGTTTTCCAAAGTAGCTAAGCCACTTTATATTCCCCCAGCAATATAGGAGGATTCTGGTTTCTCCACATTCTTGCCAATGCTTGTTGTTTCCATCTTTTTGGAAACCATTTTATAAGCATTTGATTGGGTGTGAGGTCTCATTATGGTTTTGATTTCCAATTTCCTAATGACAGATGATGTTGAACATCTTTTCACATGCATATTGACCATTTGTAATATCTTCTTTGGAGAAATGTCTATTCAAATCCCTTAGCTATTTTAAAAAATGGATTATCTGTGTTTTCTTGAGTTTTAAGAATCCTTTATATATTCTGGATACACATTCCTTGTGAGATACATAATTTGCAAATATTTTTCTTCCATTCTTTTGGTTGTCTTTCCACTTTCTTGATAAAGCACACAGGTTTTTTTTTTAAATTAAAAAAATTATTTATCTTTAGAAGGGAAGGGAAGGAGAGAGGGAGAGAAATATCAATGTATGGTTGCTTCTCTTGCATCCCCTGCTGGGAACTGGCCCCTGCTGGGAGCTGGCCTGCAACCCAGGCATGTGCCCTGACTGGGAATCAAACCTCGATCTTTTGGTTTGCAGGCCCGTGCTCAATCTACTGAGCTACACCAGCCAGGGCAAAAGCACACAGGTTTTTAATTTTGATGTAGTCCAATTTATTTTTTCTTGGTTGCTTGTACGTTTAGCATCAAACCTAAGAAAACATTCCTTAACCCAACATTCATGTTTTTTTCTAGGTGTTTTATACTTTTAGCTTTTAAATTTAAGTCTGTGGTCCACTTTAAGTCATTTTTGTATATGTTGTGAGGTAGGGGCCCTACTTCTTTTTTTTTTTTTTTCATAAAGATACATAGTTGTTCCAGCGCTGTTGATCGAAAAGACTGTTCTTTCCCTGTTGAATTGTTTCTTGGCACCCTTGTTGGATGTAAACTGACCATTAATGTATGGGTTTGTTTGGACTTCTACTTCATTCCATGTTTTTTAAAATGGTATTTATGACTCTGTCACTTAGTGTATTACCTTCATCGTTGGTTTAACTCTTTGTATCTTAGTTCTCTAGTCTTTAAAATGAGTAAAAATAGTAAGTACTTCATGGGATTACTGTGAGGGTTAAAGGAGATTATATGTGGGAGGAGAGTAGAGCCGTGCCTAGTTTGTAGAAAGCACTCAGTATGTGTTACCTGTCGCCATCACCACCACCACTGTCCTGGTCGCCATCATCGTCACTAGCCCCACCATAAAACTGAAATGTGATCTAAATTGTATGTGGTTTATCTCCTTTACTGGATTGTAAACCCTGAAATGAGATACCGTGTTCAAAAAGTATGTGACTGACAAGAGATAGGACAGGGAGCAAAGAGGACTGAGGGCAAATGGGGGAAACACTTGCATTAGGCATCTTTATTAGAGTAGACTAAATGATTTTTTTAAATGTGCATAAGAAAAATACTAGAGTCTTTGTTTTAGGATAATTCTAGAGTATGGGGGTCAGGTGGAAAGTTCTGTCATTATTTTGGTTTATAAAGAAGTTCTGGAACAGGAGTTATGTCCTAGTGTTCAGGGACTATGAGTCTTTTCAAAACTTTGTAAATATAATGTTTAGTCCAGTGTCCTTAGCATTACTATTTTAAGAGTGCTGAGCAAATGTTGGCCATTTCCAAAGTCCAGTTGAGTATCGGTAATCACCCTTATTTAGTATTATGTGAAAAATATCCTAGAAATGGTATCAGAACTTATTTGTTCTCTCAAATTTAGCCGCTTTTATTTATGGTAAGCGCATATGTGTCTAATGGTGATTTGAGTGTTAGCTTAAAAAAGATGCCGTCTCTCTCTTGCCCTGCTCCTCTTGCATTCGTACTATTAGCATGTGACTGACATTTTCTATATTAATTGTGAATTTATATAATGGATGACAAACCATATAACTGAGTCTTAGCACTCTGCTTTACTTCATAATATCTGCATTCCTAGAGTTTTTTATTAAGCAAATAAACAAATTATTGCTTTAAAACCCCTTTCTATCATGGTAATCAGTTAATTATCACCATTTTCTATTAATTGTGAAATGAAAGAACCAAATATTTTGGGAGTCTGTTTCTTTCATCATGCTTAAATTTTTCTCCGTATGTTTTAAAACTTGTTTTCCTCGATCTCTTTTTTCCCCTGTGATGGTGCTTAATTTCTAGGTTTTCTATATTTTAAAAATCTGATATGCTTATTACTCCTAGATGTCATTTGTCAGAGTGAACCGTTACAGTCCTCGGGGAGGGGGAAGGAAAGCACTGAAAGTCAAGAAGAAGAAAACACCAGTGAAGCAGGAATGGGATGTAAGTCTATGGGATAAGAAGCAATGTAACGGTACTCTGGAGGAACAGGTGTACTAAACAGGCCCTAGTGGGTTGGGACAGTGTATCGGATGCGGCTCAGCATGTAGCAGGTTTATGGGCATGTTACATCCTAGGTTTCAGGGGGAAGAGAAGAATCCTTTGAGGAGTGCTTTTTAGGATACAGGAGTTGAGGCTGTACCTCTACTTTTGAAGAGCTGGGATCTTACGGGATTCGGTAGTATGTTTTTAAAAAGTGCCCCCATTTTACTTTGAGAACATGCCGCTTTAAGAAGACCACTCTAGCTGACCTGTGTCACTGATGTCTGAATTTTGGGGGTCATTTTTTATATTTCCCCATAGCAGCCAGTGATGCCATAATCACATGAGGGGCGTTTTTGGCTGAAAAGGTAGATGATCATTGCTGTCTTACCCCTCAAGTTATTTATTGGTCATATTCAGAGGCTGGTCACTTGCAGTACAAAGGTTCTCTTAAGATAAAAGACAAGTCTCAGGTACCTGGGACTTGGTCCATGGCTCCCATCCTGATTATTGCCTGGTATTATCAAGGGGATTTTTATCTTCTGCAGCCTGGTATTTGGGTTTGGACCACGGGGCTTTTTATTTTATTTAAAAAATATGTTTATTGATTTGAGAGAGAGAGAAATATCGATGTGAGAGAGGAACATCAATGTGCCTGAACTGTCAGGGAGAGGGGGCGGGATTGATCTTGCAACCTAGGTGTGTGCCCTAACTGGGAATTGAACCCCCAACCTTTTGGTGTGTGGGATAATGCTCCAACCGAGCCGTACCTGCAGGGCTTTAGGTGCCTTTGCTTTCTAGTTTGGATCTCAGAGATTCTTTTAGACTTGAAATCTTCTGGGTTGTGACCAATCATTTTAGCCCATTATCCTGAGCAAACTGATGGTCTTTGGAAGTGGAACAGAGGGGCTTCTGTGTTTAAATTTGCTTTTTTGCCATCTGATTAGCTACAAAATATTTTTTATCAGGGTGTGATTCTAAGGTAATGAAACTGATGGAAGAGAAAAAAATGCACACAATGACATAAATACTGTTCCCTACAGAGTGGCTATTTTGGGAAGTTTGGTTTTTATTCTGATTTGCTACTATTGCTGAAAACATAATTGGAACCCATCATTTGAAATTGTATCAGAACCTCTCTTAATTACTTTTTATCTCCAGTGCTGGAAAAATATGGTTTTTGAAGGTAGACTGAACTTGAAAGTAGTTGTAAGTCATTTGGAGTGAATGTTAAATGAAGAAAGAGAGATAAACTGAATAATATTGTTTTGATAAAAAGTGAGATTTTTTGAAATGGCTTGTAAATTAGATTTAAAGGCATTTTTAAAAGAACATTGTTCTAAGTGGCAATATTATTAATGAAATTATATTTTCTCCCATGAGAACTAATTCCAAGCATATCACTTAGTTATATGCCTCAGTTCTATTATGATTATTAAAAATAATCCTCATGATCTTAGAGTTGTATCATGTGCTTTTCTAAATGAATATGAAAGGAGCAATAGTTTTAGTAGAGAAAGCCTTGAGGTAAATACAAAGTATAGCCAAAAAAGTCTTTGAATACACCAACAGCTATTTCACCAGGCTCAGTTTTGTATATTTTTCTTAGGTGTAAAACTCTAAGTTGTTTTATTTCCTGCCTTGCCAAATTTGTACAAAAAAGTGGCTGAAGTCATTCTGGAAAGGGCCAAATTGTAGGACTGCTGCTTGGAGCTCTCCAGGCTGTGCAAGGCGGCACAGTCCCAGGAGAGTGCTGTTTACATTTACTAGGATACTGACGGCACCTCCCCGAGTTGTGCAGTGTGGTAGCCCTGCCATGTTGGCTTTGTGCCTTTTTACTTATGTGACTGTTTTCACATTTCATGAAATTATAGAAACTCCATCTCTTATAATAGGTTCCGTGCTTAAGGTGTTGAAATGGTCACAAATTGAATCTCTCTATAGTGATCACATTTTATGTTTTAGGAATTGTTAGCAGTGCTCCATTCCATGGAATACAGTTTGAAAACTATGAGTCCAGCTTATACTTATTTGAATTATATACTACCCCCTTTTATTCATTGTTTTTAATAAAATGTGTACCTGCTTGTTGAATTTAGTCCTTATTTTCCGTAAGACACTTAATAGGCTGTTATTTTCTATAAGACACCTATAAGTTATCCATATTAATATTTAAATTGAGAATACTGGTTCCTGAAAAGAAAGACTTTTTGGTCCTGGGAATTTGAATTTGTCTTCAAATCTAGTACATACGGACACCAAAAATCCAGTACGTACTCACACCTAAAGACACACAAATGAACAATATCTGTTAATAGGTATTATATAACTTTCTGGAGAATGTGAAAAAAATATAGTTAAGAAATTTAAATAACAAACTAGCATTTTATTTCAACTTAAATATATTTACTTTATATAATGTATAAACATATAATAATTTTATTAATTCGAGTTAAAGTAGAAACTTCATCTTGTTAAATTGTGATGATCAAGCCTCTTAACTCTTCAAAGAAAGGTTTCTTGGAGACCAGCATGCTTAATTCAATATAGTCTTTTAACTGAAATCTATCTGGCATGTAAAACAAAAAAGAAAACTAATGTCATGAAATAAAAGCTAAAACTGATTTCAAATAGTTTTTTAACCTAAAGAGAATTTGTCTCCAAGAAAAGTACACAAAGAGAGTGAATAACTTCTTTTTTAAAAGATTTTATTTATTTAGTTTTAGAGAGAAGGGAAGGAAGGGAGAAGAGAAAGAGAGAAACATTGTTGTGGGAGAAATACATTGATGGTTGCCTCTCGCACGCCCCCAGCTGGGGACCTGGCCCACAACCCAGGCACGTGCCCTGACTGGGAGTCAAATTGATGACTTTTGGGTCTGCAGGCTGGCACTCAGTCCACTGAGGCACACCAGCCAGGGCAAAAGTGAACAACTTTAAAATCCTACTTTTAAAACTCTAGTAAATGCAAATATTTTATGAGAAAGCTTTTTCTTTAAAGAAAGTTTGTCTTTTTTGCAGAATACTGTGAATGATCTAACAGTTCATCGGGCAACACCTGAAGATCTGGTAAGTTTAATATCAAGAGTTAAGATTTGTTTAGTGTTTATTTGATAGTTGGTTTCTAAACTTCAGAGTAGAAACCAGAGTTATTTCCTGGAAGTTGTTATATTTAGTCTTGCGTGTGTCAATATAAAATAAAAAATTATATCTCTTGACTTCCCATTTTTTACCTAAAATACCAATTAGCCAGGGTTAAACTCAGGTTCTCGAACAGCCAAACCTGGGTTCTTGAACATCTTATTTCAAACAATTTGGTTCTCGACCAAGTTATTCACAGAAAAAATGTCTCTGTTGTCAGACAAATTATTGGTGCTCTACAGGACAACCCTTTTATGCTGTTAGAGTGGAATGTCTGTTCTCAAACTTAAATTGTGCAATTTATGATTGAAGAAGTAGAGAAGAGGGAAGGGAGGATTGATATTCCTACTTCACTAATCAAAGAAATGCTTGGGAAATGGGGAGAATTGCCAAGTTTTATTGAGAAATAGCACCCTGACAGAGAAATGGTAACCATGCAATATACTTGTTCATTGAGAATGCATTGTTTCACATCAGGCAAGTGTTAAAATATAGGCAAAAACAAACATTATTGGATAGGTTTTTAGTGAGCCAGAGGCTGAGTGAGCCTGAAGGAAGTTCTAGTGAAGCAAAGAGACAAAAGACAGAAAGAACGTAGAACAACAGCTATCTGACATTGTTTTGGAAGGGGACCCATTTGCTTTTTGTTAAATTTTCATTTACATGTAATGTTTATTTTTAGATTAAACAGTACAGTAGACATGTACCGTATATAAGAAAGTTTAAAACAGAATCATTTGGGGGTCTGGAACCAATTAATTCAATTTATGTTATTATGGGAAAAAAATGGTTCGGTTTTCAAACAAACTTCTTCTTGAACAGTCTTCTGGAAGTAACTAAGTTTAACCAAGTTCGAGAACTGAAGTTCCACTGTATTAGAATTTCACTAGATAGGTTTGGTTTATATTGGCGTGGCCAAAAAGTTTATTTAGTTTATCTATGAAATTAAAGACAGTTTTTTCATTTTCACCAATAACTTTATTGATTTTGTCAGCTGTCTCTCATGTAGTATAATGTTGATTGTTCTCTATTAACGTCTTGATTTGATTCCTATCAACTTCTACTGGTCTACCTGACTGGGGAGCATCATCCAGCGAGAAATCTGCATGAAACCTCACAAACCCCTTTTGACATGATTGACCAGTGATAGCACCTTCTCTGTACATTGCATGAATCTTAGTTTGTGCTTCAGTTGAATTTTTACCTTTCTTTTTTTTTACATTTTTTAAAATATATTTATTGATTATGCCATTACAGTTCTATTTCCCCCCTTATTCCCCTCCCCCCTGCACACTCCTCCCCCACCATTTCCCCCTTTTGTTTATGACCACGTGTCTCAAGTTCTTTACATTCCGTATTTCCCCTACTATTCTTGCCCTCCCCCCTATCCATTTTCTACCTACAGTCTATGCTACTTATTCTCTGTACCTTCTCCCTCCTTCTCTTCCCTTCTCCTCCTCCCACTCCCCTATTGCTAACCCTCCATGAGATCTTCATTTCTATGGTTCCACTCTTGATCTAGCTGTCCTCTTAGTTTGCTTTTGTTTTAGGTGTGGTTCTTAATAACTGTGAGTTTGCTGTCCTTTCACTGTTCATATTTTTTATCTTCTTTTTCTTAGGTAAGTCCCTTTAACATTTCATATAATAAGGGCTCGGTGATGATGAACTCCTTGAATTTGATCTTATCTGAGGAGCACTTTATCTGCCCTTCCATTCTAAATGAAAGCTTTGCTGGATAGAGCAATCTTGGATGTAGGTCCTTGCATTTCATGACTTGGAATACCTCTTTCCAGCCCCCTCTTGCCTGTAAGGTCTCTTTTGAGAAATCAGCTGACAGTCTGATGGGAACTCCTTTGTAGGTGACTGTCCCCTTATCTCTTGCTGCTTCTAGGATTCTCTCTTTCATTTTAATCTTGGCTAATGTAATGATGATGTGCCTTGGTGTGTTCCTTCTTGGGTCCAACTTCTTTGGGACTCTCTGAGCTTTTTGGCTTTCCTGGAAGTCCATTTCTTTTGCCAGATTGGGGAAGTTCTCCTTTATTACTTGTTCAAATAAGTTTTACACTTGCTCTTTCTCTTCCCCTTCTGGTACCCCTAGAATTTGGATGTTGGAATGTTTAAAGATGTCCTGGAGGTTCCTAAGCCTCTCCTCATTTTTTTTGAATTCCTGTTTCTTCATATTTTTCTGTTTGGTCATCTTTTTCTTCCTTCTGGCCCACTCCTTTGATTTGAGTCCCAGTTTCCTTTCCATCACTGTTGGTTTACTGTGCATTTCCCTTCATTTCAATTAGTTTAGCCTTCATATGTTCCTCTAATTTGTGACTAAAATCAACCATTTCTGTGAGCATCCTGATCACCAGTGTTTTGAACTGTGCATCTGATAGGTTGGCTACCTCTTGGTCACTTAGAGTTATTAGCTCTGGGGCTTTGAGTTACTCTTGAGTCATGTTGTGGTCTTTTCGCTCCTGTTACGTATGAGGAGGGGAGCCTTAGGTGTTCACCAGGGTAGGGCTGCCCAGGTCGCTGGGTTGTGATGCTCTATGTGGGGGTGGGGTCAAAGAGGGGCAATAGCGGTCCTCTGCTGGTTCTCGCTGCTGGGGCCTGTGTGGTCTGTCTCACTGCTCACTCCTTTGCTGGTTTATCTGCACACCAATGTGTGACCTTGGTCAGCCTGCCGCCTTGCGCCCTCACTGAGTCCACCCATTGCTGCCCCATACATGGGATCCACCCACTACTATCCGAGTGCCTAGGTTGGGGAATCTTTCTTGCCCTACCCTGCTCCACTGCTGGCTCCACCCCTCTTACCTGTCTGGCTGAACGGTTTTGTTGTTGTTGGACTTCCGTATAGTTCAATTTTCTGTGTTTTAGCTGTGTGTTTGTTACTAAAACTTCGTTGTCTTTAAACTTGGTTGTGTGAGGAGGCAGTGTTTCCACCTACACCTCCATCTTGGCAGAAGCGAAGTTTTACCTTTCTTGAAATAATAAAGCATAATATACCAAAAATGTTGCTTATTTTCTCCCATCTTCAGTATTAAAACTGCTATACAAAAATTCATCAATTTTGATAATTTTTTTAAACGCACACTAATAAGACAGCTGTCACAATACAGTCTAACAAGATTGTTTTGAATGAAGTTAAAGACAACTAAGTGCTGCTGGAGCCACCTTACAGGAAAACCAAATGAACTTTTGGCCAACCCAATAGTTTAAATCTCTGTAGTCCAGTATTGCCTTGTGCAAATCTGTCATTTTTCCCTATCTGTAGACATCTTCAGCATTATTTACCTTTACTTCTCTGTACAAATATACTGGTCTAGTCAATATGGTAAGTTATGCCTTGGGCAGGCTGTGTATATGTCCGTATTTGAGACCAAATTTGTTCTACTTTCCTTAGTTCGAACAGCTTTCCTACTTTACTACTTGTCTAATTCTTACTTTGCTTCCTCATCATAGTCTTTTTAAAAGTTTCTACTACATATAGTTTAAAAAACATGGCTTTATTGAGATATAATTCACATACCATAAAATCCACCCTCTTAAAGTATATAGTTTATTGATTTTTAAAATATATTCACAGATTAGGCGACCAACATTACTTTCTAATTATAGGACATTTTTATCATCTTCCCAAAAAAACTCTATACCCATTAACAGTCACTTCCTATTCTGCACCCCCACCTTTACCAGATGCCTGGCAACAATGAATCTACTTTATGGCTCTATGGACTTGCCCATTGTGGACATTTGGGTTGTTTCCACTTTTTGATTATTATAAACAATGCTGCTTTGAACACTCATGTATAAGTTTTATCTAAGAAAATATGTTCCCAGTTCTCTTGGGTGAATACCTAGGAGTGGAATTGATACATCCAGTGATATCCATATTACTTAACTTCCTGGGGAACTGCCAAACTGTTTTTCAAAGTGGTTGTAACAGTTACATTCTCACTAGCATTTCTGAGGGTTCCAGTTCCTTCACATCACTTGTTAGTATAGTACTTGGTATTGTCATCTTTTTGGCTTTAGTTCTACTGGGTATAAAGTGGAATCTCATTGTGGTTTGGGCTTGCATTTCTCTAGTGACTAATGATGTTGTGCAGTTGAACATCTTTTCATGTGCTTATTGGTCATTGTTGGCCATAGTATCCTCTTTGAAGGAATGTATATTGAAATCTTTTAGTCATTTTAAAATTATTTGTGTTTCTATTGTGCAGTTGTAAGAGTTTTTTTTTTAGTATATGTATATTCTGGATATAAGTTCATTATGAAATAAATGATTTCAAATATTTTCTCTCATTCTCTTGGTTGTCTTTTCACTTTCTTGACAATGTTCTTTGAAGCACAAAAGTTTTTTAATTAAAAAAAAATTTTAAGTTTTTTAAAATTAAAAAAATTTTATCTAATATTTAGATAAAAATTTTCATCTAATATTTCAGTTTATCTAATATTTCTTTTGTTATTTGTGCTTTTAGTGTCATACCTAAGACACTAAAAGCACAAAGAAACCATTATCTAACTGCAAGTTCACAAAGATATACTCCTATACTTTCCTTGTTTAAAAAATTTACTGAATTTATTGGTATGACATTGGTTAATAAAATTATATAGGTTTCAGGCATACAGTTCTATAATACAACGTCTGTGTATTGTCTTGTGTGTTCACCACCCAAAGTCAAGTCTCCTTCCATCACCATTTACCCCTCTTCTACCTGCCCCACCCCTACTCCCTCTGGTTATTATCACTATGTTTTCTTTTAAAAGTTTTATAGTTTTAGCTCTTATGTTTAGGTGTCTGATCCATTTTGAGTTAAATTTTATATTTAGTGTGAAATAGAGGTCCAACCTTATTTATTTATTTATTTTTGCAAATGGATATTCAGTTTTCCAAGTACCATTTGTTAAAAAGACTGTTTTTTCCTTCTTGAGTTTTCTTGCTACCCTTGTTGAAAATCAGTTGTCTATAATATAAGGGCTTAGTTTGGACTCTCAGTTCTGTTTCGGTGATCTTTATGTCTGTCCTTATTCCAGTACCACGCTGTCTCGATTATTATACCTTTCTAGGGAGTTTGAAGGCCTAGTAAGGCATCGAGTGTATGCCATCTGATGCGTACTGTTGATCTTGTATATGCTCAGTTTCCCCGGGCAGATTATTAGTGCTTTGGAGGGATAGGAGCCGTATCTTCTACATCTTTCTGTACCTAGGAGTCTTAATCCTGGTAGCTCATTAAATGTTCATTGAGGATAATGATGCTAGACTGATGGAATTTTTTTATTATGACAAATTTCAAACTCATGTGAAAGTGCAAAGTTACCAAGAGCTCCCATATACTGTTCACCCAGATACAACATTATTAAAATTTTAAATAATGTCTTCATTTGTCATATCCTTCTCTGGCTTTGTTGAAGCATTTTAAAGCATGTCTCAGAGAACATGTCATATTGTGCCTATATATTTAGTTTGTATTTTAAAAAATATAAACATTCACTTATATAACCACAATGCCATTTCTACACCTAGCAAAAGTAATATTTTTTTTGCGTTACCTAATTCTCAGTCCACATTCAAATTTTCTTGGTTGTCTTAAAAATGTCATCTTCATTTGGTTTTTGAGACTCAGAATCCCAATGTAGTATTTGGTTGTTAGTCTTTTAATGAACTGATTTCTTATTTACATGGTGAAAACTCAGCAGTACATTTTATCAGATGCTGTGCTGGTTTTGTTTATATTTATAGTTCTAAACAGAGTACTTGTTAAGCCAATATCTGCTTTTATTCCTTAGTCACTTCAATGAACTACTCCCCTCTAGCTCATAGGTGGTGGCTCGGAATCTCTGTTTCTGCTTCAGGAATTCTACTTCCCTGGAGTGTCCTACCGTCTGAATAGGCAACTTTCTTGCTCCTGAAAAATTCTTTTATAATCCTTTTTTTCTATGTAGATACGTCGTCATGAAATACACAAATCAAAGAATAGAGCATTAGTGCACATGGAACTCCAAGAAAAAGCTTTGAAGAGAAAATGGAAGAAGCAGAAACCGGAAATTTCTGTTCTTGAGAAAAGGAGATTGTCTATCATGAAGGAGGTAATGCTGAACTGCACTATCTTAGAGTTAGAAAGGGATAAATAGGTTTCTCTACCTTCCCCCCAATTTGATTCACGTTGGAGAGCCTATAATTACTGCATCCCTATACAGAGGTCTACATGTGGACTTTGGAAAAGCAGCAGGGACAGATCTGGCCCCACAACTTAGACTCTCCGGTGTGAATCGCAGTAAGCAAGTTATTAACTTCTCAGCCTGAATTTTTTCATCCTTAAAATGGGAATAACACTACTTGCCTGATTGTATTGTCTACAGTAATCAGCATAGTCCTTGGCAAATAATTAGTGTCATATAATATATATAAACTGCTCTTATTTTTCTTAATTCATATGTAGTGCTGTTTGATTACTTTGCAAAAAATGTGTGTGCTTATCTAACAAGTTAGTAAGTTACTTGTCTTTGGCTTAATGTTGTATATATATATATATTTTTTTATTTTGAATTTTTAAATTTATTGATGAGAGAGAGAAAGATTGATTTATTGTTCCACTTATTTATGCATTCATTAGTTGACTCTTGTATGTGCCCTGACAGAGGACTGAACCTGCAGTCTTGGGGTATTGGGACAGTGCTCTAACCAACTTAGCTACCCAGCCAGAGTATCTTTGGCCTAATCTTTTTTTTGTCAGATGTAGGGTTTTTGGATTAATAATACAGATGTGTCAGAGTAAACAATATGGGAAATAAGAGGAAATATAGGAAAAGGTCCTTTTACTTGGGCTGAAATCATTGTGAAAGAAATGTGCTTTGTTTGTAGAGTTGCTTCTTGTTCAGTGTTGAAGCTTATGGCGATTGGCTGTCTGGGTGACCTTTCCTAGATTAAGAGAGACTGGTTCTTTACAGAGAGTATCTTTTGGTGACCTTGGACAAGTCACATATATTTAAATGTGTGGTGCTTCTCAGTAAGAGGCCTAAGAACACACATCTGGACAGGAAAAAAGGCAGCCCCTTTGAGGTGACTCTGCGCTTTTGCTTTTCCTTCATTTTTTTTAGTTGCTCTGGCTCATGTCGTGAATTGTTTTTTCCCCTTCCGCTTCCCCTTCCCCTTCCCCACCCCCACCCTCCCTCCCTCCCTTCCTTCCTAAAAATAGATATAGTAGAAGTAGTTGTTGAAAGAAGAAGGGTGAGAGAGGTTGAGTGAAGTTTCTCTGCCTCCTTTCCATGGTGCCATGTCCTCCGGTTGTAGTTTAGTGTTTCTCAGCCTCGACTCATGTTAGAATTAGTTACGGTTGAGAACTCCCATTAAAAAAAAATTGCAGCTCTGGCCAGTGTGGCTCAGTTGATTGGAGCATCATCCCATGGATTGAAAGGTTGTGGGTTCAATTCCTAGTCAGAGCAAATAACCAGGTTGTGGGCTCTCAGAGATTTGGTTTACCTACGAAGAGGATGAGTTTTATCAGAGAGGAGTGATAAAGAAATCTAGAAAGACTAGAGGAAAGCCACCTCTGGCCACTCAGCCCATCTGCTGCAAGGAGCCTGGGCAGAGGCTAGAAGAGAGGAGAGGGCAGTGGCTTTACTGGAGACCTCATTATAATTGATGTCGGGTCTTGATATGATAAAATTCTTCTTTCACATTCTTCTTCTGTCAGTTATATATCTCTTTACTTTGATAAGAGGTCAAAAATCTTTCATAAAAAGTATCAAATTCTTGAAACTGCCATTAGGAAATATTCTTTGTGTAATTTTTCTAGTGTAAATAATACATTATAATGCTCCATTTACTCCCTTTCCTAAGCTCTAAATGCACATACTTGCAAGATGGCTAATTAGGGATAGAGATCTAGTGCATGGGATAATATAATTTAAGCTGTAACAGCGTTCTCAAATATTTCTAGTGATGTACAGGTTTCCAGTGTGTCCACATCCTTGTAACACCCCCATGGGCTTGGACAGGTGTTTATATCTTCATTGACACATCAAGAGACTAAGGTTAAAGTGCTTAGATTTTGCTTAGTATCTTTTGACTGGACCTAGGTCCCAGTCTTCTGGCTCCAAATGTCCTCTTTGTCTTATACCTTTCCATAGCCTACTTTTTGTGGAAAGCCAGCACTCTTAGTTTCTCTACCTGAGTGAGGCAGCTGCTTGGCCATAGCAGGGGAAGAAGGTGAAGAAGGGGAAAAAGTCAGAATATTACTTGGAGGCAAATAAGGGTAAATCGATTCCCAAATAAGGGGAAAATTCCTTATTTTCCCCTGTGTTTTAAAACAGTAACTGAGGTCATATTATATACTATGTACATGGCCTAGAGAAATTCTGGTAAGAGCATTTGCTACTAGATGTCCCATTGACTTGAGCCAGTGTTGGAAACTGGACAGTTTTCAATTTTGAGACTCCTTTCCACTACTCTCTGGTAGTGATGGGTAGAGTTGACTTGCTTTTACTCTGGCCTGAACTCTTGTTTGTAATTATGTTGAAAATGCAAAAGCAGAGGCACTGCTTCTCATCCCTCCAGGATAAAGACCTGAATTGTTGATAAATACAGAAACAAGCACCACACGTTTGTTTAATGCCTCAAAACTCATATTTTACATCGTGATTTTGAAGTTGTGGGTTATAACTTTGCACTTTTCACATCACTTTAGTGGTGGAAACCTTTGAGTTTATGGCACAAAGATTTGTAACCTTAATCAGTGTTTTTTCAAACTGTGGATCACGACTTGTTAACAGATTGTGAAATCAAATTAGTGAATTGCAACCATCATTTTACAAAGTAGAACAGAAACTACCCTGGCCAGGTGGCTCAGTTGGTTGGAGTGTCATCCATACACCAAAAGCTTGCAGGTTCGATTCTGAGCCAGGGCACTTGTCTAGGTTGCGGGTTCTATCCCCAGTCGAGATGCATATGAGAGGCAACTGACTGATGTTTTTCTCCCCCACCTCCCTTTCTCTTTCCCTGAAATCAATAAGCATACCTTGGGTGAGGATTAAAAAATAAAAATAAAAAGTAGAAAGAAAGTTAAAAGAAAATATCAAATTGGTTTCCAAAGACTAAGGTTAAATAAAATTTTATTTTGTTATATATTTACATTTACATTTATGTGTGGATTTGGGGTCACAATTAAAGCATTTGAAATCTACTAATTATTGTAATAGCCCCATCTGCTGGTACTTAAGGATATAATAGGATATAATCACGGAAGGATTTTAGTGAGCTATGGTTATTATGCTTCGTGCCTTTACATGGACTTCCTTTGTGATTTGGTAAGTACACATTTTTTTCTGAATAATAATATTTATCACTAATACATGTCTAGATTCTTTCTGATCAATACAAGATGCAGGATGCATTGGAAAAATCTGATCATTTGATGGCTGCAGCCAAAGACCTGTTTGTTGATTTCCCTCGTAGGCGCACAGGTACAGTATGCAACTCAGACAAAAGCTTCTTTTCCATATTAACCACCAAGGGCTATTTGGAGGAATTAAAAAAAATATTTTAGGCGTTGTATTATTTATAAGTATTCTAGAGTAGGTAGCATACAAGAGTTGTCAGCCATACATTCATTATAATTTGTTCTTCACTAAGAATATTAACTATTATGAATTAGTCAGCTAAGGAAAAGTAAGTTGTTATTAACTACTAATGTTTTATGGTGCAATGTACAAGATTTTATAATTTAAAATAAGACTTAATTTTTAGTTTACCAGTATTAAGTTACCATATAATTGAAGTAACTGTGTTTATATGTAATTTGAGTAAAGCTTAATTTGAAGTCTAAAGCAACTGAAGTCCCTCTCTGAAAGGAACTTCCTTCCTTCTCAGATACATAGTATTGTTCGCAATGTGTATGTAATTCATTGTTTGTTTTAATCTTTAAAAAGAGTTCATTAGTTTACGGTTTGAATCCTGGCTCAGCCACGTATTAGTGTGGCCCTGGCTCTGCTGCTTCAGGTCTGAGTGTCAGTTTACTGATCTGTGAAATAATAATAGTAACAACTTTGTGGGATTGAACGAGGATAAAATGCTTTAATAAAGCATTTAGAACTGTGCCTGGCATAGAGTAAGTAGTGTAAAAGTGTAGCTGCTATTATCATTAAAAATTTTCATATGATGATACAAACCTACAGCAGTATATAGTGTTTGTGAAATCACTTTAATTAAATGAAACAAAATTATCTCTACATCTTCTTTTGCAGGTTTTCCGAATGTAACAGTGGCTCCTGATTCCTCGCAGGGTCCCATTATAGTAAATCAAGACCCTGTCACCCAGGCCATCCTTGGGAAATCTGTCGTGGAGCCACAGGTAATGTGTTCTGCTTCCAGCCCAAGTGCTCATGCTGAAATTAAGGTTAAGTTGAGGTAGGCATTGTGGTAACCATTTCAGAGGCCTGAATGCCAACAAATACCAAGTTGTGGTTGTTAGAATTGTTCTTAAATATATTGCACTTTCTGTGGTTAGGGTTTGCACTAAACAAGATAGGACTGGATAGCTAACGCACATTGAGTACTTACCTAGGAGGCAGGCACTATTATCCTCATTTAGCAGATGGGGGAAAGAGAAACCAAGGCTCAGAAAATTTAAGTGACTTGTCCAAGATCATGTAGCTAGTTAGTATCAGAGATGACATTCAAATCCAGGCTGCCTGGCTCCACAGACTGCTGCCACCATCTGCCAGTACGGGAACGACAGAGTCAGGTGGGTCTGTTGATATTCAGCTGCTGACTAGGTGTTTCATCTTGAGTTGATTTCTTAAGGTATCTGAGGTGGCTCAGAGTGTTTTTTGTTAAATGGTAATAGAATATACCTTTTGTGGTTGTTATGAGGGTCAGCTGAGATGTTCTGTAAAGTGCCTAGCATGACATTAGATAGCAGTTCTTCATTAAATGTTAGTTTCTTCTAATGCATTAGTATGTTTAAAAAGTAGCTACCCAAGAAACGTGGTATTTATTGACTAGTTTTACGGGGAAATTATATTATAGCAGTAGAACTTTAACTAGCTGTATCCTAACCTAATTAGAATGCTTAATCAAAATGTTTAGAATTTTGAGATAATAAACATTTTTTAAAAGCCCAGGAAAAGCTTAATACTAAAGTAAAACTTCTTATGAATGACTATGACTTAGTACCTGTTCAATGCAATTTCCTAGTCTATATATCTTCTATGAAAAAAGGGAAATCATCATTTAGAGGGATAATCTCAGGGAATTACAGGGTCCAGAATAATTAAAGACTTGATGAGTATCTTGTTTTCTACAAAAGCAATGAAATAGACTGTAGTATATATTTGAAATAGCCAAAATCCATTAGTTATATCCCTAGCTAAAAACCACATATGTTTTGGCACTTATTATAATGTTACCTTTCAGATAATGGTGGACTCTATCATGGGGCTAGGGAAGTGGCAAGAGCTGAGGTTAGAGAGGCAGGAAAGAGCTAGGTTAGGAAAGGCTAAGGAAGCAGGAAGTTAGAGGAGAGCCACTAAAGGATTTTGAGTAGAATAGAGTCACGATGAAATTGACTGTACCATGGAAGATGGATTGGGAGAGACTCTGGGTGGAAGCCTTTGGGATCGTAGTGAGGAATGGTGAGGACCTGACCCAAAGCAGTGGCAGTAGGGAAGAAGATAGAGGGCAAGAGGGAGAGCTTGAGATATTAAAAGGGGTAGAACTGACAGGATTGGGGTGGCTGATTGGCTGTGACAGATGAGAAAGAAAAATAATTCCCAGTTGCTGGCTTAAGCATCTGAGTGGATGGGGATGCTGTTTATGGTCTTAGGTAATATGCCAGGAATGATAGGAGAGGCTTAGGAAGATGGTCAGTTTTAGACATGTCGAGTATATGTGTATAGGATGTTTTACCAGGGATATCTTTTAGGCGTTTAGGTAGTTGGATATAAATGTTTAGGGCTCAAGGAAGATCTGGGTGAAGATAGAAATTTGGAAATTAATAGCATTTGACTGGTAATTGCAGCTTTGGAATTAAATATAAGCACTCAGAAAGCGAGCCACATAAAAGGAGAGAAAAAAAAACTCCAAAGAGAAGAGCTTGAATCATCAGATATAAGGGAGGGGTAGACAAAGAAAAACCCTATAGGATATTGGGAAGGAATAGCCAGAAGAAGGAAGAAAAACCAAGAAAATACATATAGTAGAACTTAAAGGCAAGAGTATACCAAAGAAGATATTTAAGGTTGTCCCGACTGGTGTGGCTCAGTGGGTTGAGTGTCGTCCAGCAAAGGTCACTGGCTTGCTTCCTGATTAGGGCACATGCTTAGGTCGCTGGGCTAGGTTGTGAGAGGCGGCCCATCGATGTTTCTCTGGCACATCGATATTTCCCTTTCTTTCTGCCTCCCTTCCCCCTCTCTAAAAAAGATAATAAAATCCTTTAAAAAAGATTTTGAGGGAAAGAAATGAGTGGTCATTGATATCTGATGAGTCATAGAAATAAGGGAAGGCAAAGACTGACAAATATCCATTTGATTTAGGAACAAGTTTGTGATATTGACCTTGTAGAGAGCAGTTTGAGTGATAGAGCAGAAGCAAAGTGAGAGGGCATAGATCTTGAATGAGACATGGAAGACAGATCTTTCTAGAAGTGTGGTGGTGAAAGAAGATAGGTAGTAGCTTGAGGAGATGGGAGAGAGCTGCTTACGTTTGAATGTGGATGAGCTGAAGCCAGTGCAGAGAGAAAGGTTGAAGATGCAGGAGAAGGAAAGGGCAGACGATGGAGGAGGTGAGAGGGTTTGGGTTGTAAAACTTATGCAGGGACCTTCGAAAGAGGGACTGCTCTTCTATTATGATAAAAAGAAAGAAAGCATGAGTATATATATAACCCACCAGTATTGTTATTCTGCTTTTTGTGTTGATAAAGGCTCTTAATGAAGTAGATGATGAGGAAGAAGAACCTGTTAACAGCCAGTCAGAAGAAAGCGAGAATGAGTTGGATAACTCTTTAAACTCTCAGTCTAACATGAATGTAGACAGGTATGTATATATGGCATAAATATCTACAGCACTTTTTTTTCCCAAGGCCATTATTGAGATATTATTGACATATTGTGTAAGTTTAAGGTGCACAACTTGTTGATTTAATACAAAATGATCACCATAGCCTTATTTAATACCTCCATCATATAACATGATTACCATTTCTTTTTTGCGGTGAGAATACTAAGATCTATTCATTTAGCGACTTTATTAGCTATAATCATCATGCTGTCCATTAGATCTCTAGAAGTTATTCATCTTATTATTAGAAGTCTTTATCCTTTTACCATATCCCCATTTCCCCAACCTCTACAGCTCCTGTTAACTACAATTCTGCTTTCTTTCTGTGAGTTCAGCTTTTTTAGATTCGACATTTAAGTGATAGACAGTATTTGTCTTTCTCTGTCTCACTTATCTCAGCATGATGCCCCTTCATCCACATTGTCAAAAATGGTAGGATGCCCTTTGTTAAATTATATTTTATTGATTATACTATCACAGTTGTCCCAAGTTTTCCCCCTTTGACCCTATCCACCCAGCACCCCCCACTCCCTCAGGGAATCCCTATACCATTGTTTATGTCTGTGGGTCATGCGTAGGTTCTTTAGCTGTTCCATTTCCTGTACTGTACTTTACATCCCCATGGGATTCTGTAATTACCTATTTGTACTTCTTAATTCCCAGATGTCTTCACCCATTTCTGCACACTCCCCTCCCAAATGGCAACCATTAAAACTCTCTTTGTATCCATGATTCTGTCTCTGATCTTGTTTGCTTAGTTTGTTTTTTAGATTCTATTGTTGATAGATTTGTATTTTTGCCATTAATCGTTTTGATGTTCTTTTTCTTAAATAAGTCCCTTTAACATTTCATATGATAATGGTTTGGTGATGATGAACTCCTTTATGCTTTTCTTGTCTGGGAAGCTCTTTGTTGACTCTTTGATTCTAAATGATAGCTTTGCTGGATAGAACAATCTTGGTTGTAGGTCCCTGCTTTTCATAACTTTGAATATTTCTTGCCAATCCCTTCTAGCCTGTGAGATTTCTTTTGAGAAATCAGCTGACAGTCTTATGGGAATTCCTCTGTAGGTAACTAACTGCTTTTCTCTTGCTGCTTTTAAGTTTTTTCTTTATCACTAACCTATGACATTTTAATTATGATGTGTCTTAGAGTGGACCTGTTTGCATCCATCTTGTTTGGGACTCTGTGTTTCCTGGACTCACATGCTTATTTCCTTCCCCAAATTAGTGAAGTTTTCTTCCATTACTTTTTCAACTAGATTTCCAATTTCTTGCTTTTTCTCTTTTCCTTCTGGCACCCCTATTTTGCAAATGTTGGAATTCTTGAAGTTGTCCCAGAGTCTACTTACCCTATCCTTGTTGGGGTTTTTTTAATTAATTTTTCTTCTTGTTCTGATTGTTTTTTTTCTTCCTTATGTTCCAAATCATTGATTTGATTCTCAGTTTCATCCATTATACTGTTGTTTCCCTGTAAATTGTTCTTTATTTTAACTAGTGGGTCATTCATTTCTGACTGGATCTTTTTTATGCTGTTGAGGTCCTCGCTAAGTTCCTTGAGCATTCTTATGACCAATGTCTTGAACTCTGCATCTAATAGGTTGCTTATCTCCATTTTGTGTAGTTCTTGTTCTGGAGTTTTGATCTCTTCTTTCATTTGGGTCCTGTTTCTTTGTCTCCTCATTTCAGCTGCCTCCCTGTGTTTGTTTCTGTGTTTTAGGTAGAGCTGCTATGACTCCCTATCTTGGTAGTGTGGCCTACTCTAGTACATGTCCTGTAGGGTCCAGTGGCACAGCCTCCTCTATCACCCAAGCTGGTACTCAAGTTGTGCCCTTTGTGTGGGCTGAGTATACTCCCCTCTTGTAGTTGAGCCTTGATTATTGTTGGTAGGTGATTGGGAGGGACTTACCCAGGCCAGTCAGCTGCAAGAATTATCTGTGACCTCTGACCACCAACCTCAATCTTCCGTGGAGGATCAGCTGTGCAGGGGTAGGTTGGTGGTGCTCTGATATGGTCTGTTGCTGACCACTGGGTGTGCAGGTCCTGGGGTTTTCTGGGTGGTACAGGCCAAGGTCAGCCTCCTACTGTGTTTTGCCCAGAACCACCCTGTCTGAGCTATAAAGCAATTTGAGAAAGCTGCTACTTGTGCTGGGCTTGGAGAGTCCCAGGTGAAGTCAAGCTGTGAATCTAGGCTCTTTATTGCTAGTGCTGGGCCTGGGTTTCTTAACAAGAGACAGGGGTCTGAGGGTTACCTGAGGCTGGCTCTTGCTTGTTTGAGAGGGTTTAGGAAGTTGTGAAGCATGAACCAAGACCAGCCATTCACATGGAAAAGCAGCTTAGGTGGGCCCATTGGGTAGGTGGGAGGGAGTCTCTGGGGATCTCCAGTGCAGGGCAAACAGTGTTAGGTTGACGGAGTCTCAGATATGGCAACAGCCTGCTTGTTCTGTGGCTGTATGTAGGGAGAGTTCAGAAGAGGGACAGTGGCCTTCCTTTCTGTCTGGGAGAAGGCTGTCTCCCAGCTTTTGCCTTGAGCCAGAGACTTCACTCTCTCCTTGTATGTCACTGCTTCCTTTCAAGCTGCTACCCTGGTGCTAGAGCTCAGAGGGAGTGAGTCTGATTAAGTCCACGTGTGGGCTATTTAAGAGAAATTGCTTGGGACTCCAAAAGTTTCTTCCACCAACTCAATCCTTGATGGTTTTTGCAGCCAGAAGTTATAGGGGCTTATCTTCCTGGCACTGGGACCCTGGCCTGGGAGCCTGGTATGGGGTTGGGACTCCTCACTCCCTAGATATCCTCCTGAATTTTTATCTACCACATGTGGTTGTGGGACCAGTCTGTTCCATGTCTCCCCCCCTCCTACCAGTTTGGACAGATGCGGTTTCTTTAATTCTGTAGTTGACAGACTTCCACTCAACTTGTTTTTTTGCCAGTTCTGAATGATGGTTATTTTATACAAGGAGGCAAGCCATGTTTACCTATGTTGCCACCTTGACCAGAAGTCTCTGCTAGGATTTCTTATTTTTTTTCTCATGGCTCTATAACATTTCACTGTGTGTGTGTATCTGTCTGTTCATCTCACATCTTTATTCACTCAGCTGTTGACAGACACTTAGGTTATTTCCATCTTGGCAACTGTGGAAAATGCTGCAGTCAACATGGGAATACAGATAACTTAGGGGTCCTGTTTTCATTTTCTGTGGCTATATACCCATAAGTGGAATTGCTGGATCATATGGTAGTCCTATTTGTAATGTTTTGAGAAACACTGTACTGTTTTCCATAGTGGCTATACCATTTATATTCCCATCAGTAGTGAACAAGGGTTCCCTTTTCCTCACATCATCACTAACACTTTTTACCATTTGACTTTTTCATGATAGCCATCCTAATGGGTGAAGTGATATCTCACTGTGGTTTTGATTTGTATTTTCTTGATGATTAGTGATGTTGTGCACCTTTTTATGCACCTGTTGGCTGTTTGCATATCTTTGGAACAAAGTATCTGTTCAAGTCCTCTGCCTATTTTTTTTTGTGGGGGAAGGAAAATGAATTAAGTTTTACTTATTCTAGGGCAAAGTTAAAGGGTCCTTTTGTTTCATTTTTAAAAATCAAATCCTTGCACATTATTAACAAACAAACAAAAGCCCTGTTCATTTGCCATGATACACTTGGAAGTGAAACAAATAAGCTATAACTACAGATAGTGATGTAACATGAAAAACCAGGAAAGGAAAAAAAACAAAACCAAAAACAAAATCCAACCAGGGGTGTGGGGACCCTGCTTATAAACACAGTGCCAACAACACTGTTTTGGTGGCTGATGATTTTCAGAGCATTTCTTTTTTAATATCCAAAGATCATTCTTAGCAAAGTCCCATGGGATTCTACAAAATTCTTATTTGCTCTTCTTTAATGTGTAATATTATGCTTGATAAATAAAGGGTTCTCTGCCCTTGTTTTAAATTGAATTGTTATTATTATTTTGCTATTGTCGTATGAGTTCTTTATATATTTTGAATATTACCCCCTTAACAGATAAAAGATATAGATATTTTCTCCCATTTCAAAAGTTGACTTTTCATTTTGTTGATTGTTTCGTTTGCTGTGCAGAGCTTCTTGGTTTGATGTAGTCTCACATTCATATTTCTTTTTGTGGCTTATGATTTTGGTATCATATGTAAAAAATTGTTGCCCGATTAATGTCAAGGAGCTTTTCCCTATGTTTTGTTCTAGGAATTTTACCATTTCAGGTCTTTAATCCATTTTGAGTTAATTTTTGTAAGTGGTGTGAGATAGGGATCCAATTTTGTTCTTCTGTACTTGTTTGTCCAGTTTTATCAATACTATTTTATTGAAGAAACTATCCTTCCCCCTTGTCAGCAATTAGTTTACTGCTTATGTAAAGGTTTTTTCTTGGCTCTTGACTCTGTTCTATTAGTCTTTGTGTCTATTTTTTTTAAATCCTCACATTAGGACATGCTTATTGATATTTTTAGAGAGGGAGAGAAACATCAATATGAGAGAGAAACATCAATCAGTTGCCTCTCGTATGTGCCCTGATCAGGGGCCAAACCCTCAACTTAGGTATGTGCCCTGACTGGGAATCCAGTCAACAATCCTTTGGTTTACAGGACGATGCTCCAACCAATTGAGCCACGCAGGCCAGGGTGGTCTTTGTATCTATTTTAATTCTAGTCTATTTTCTGCTGATAACAATTTAACTTTGTTGCATACACTTTATCCTTGTACTCACCCCTTTTGTTTTTGATGTTACCATTTATGTCTTTTTATATTGTGTATCTGTAACAGTGTGTTGTAGCAATAGATATTTTAATACCGTTGATCTTTAATCTTTATCCTAGTGTTAAGTATTTAACATATCACTGTATAATGGTATTACAGTGGTTTGAATCTGACTATATTCTTAGGTTTACCAGTGTATTACATATTTTCAAATGTTTTCATTTACTAATTGGG